TTCCATTCCATCACCTTCTATTAGGCTCGATAAGTTTATTCAAGTTTCAGAAGTTGAAGTCCGCAACATCATTATGTCATCATCTAACGCTAGCTGTCATCTGGATCCCTTTCCAACTTGGTTAGTGAAGAAGTGCGTAGACCAACTAGCGCCTCTTATCACTAAAATGATCAATTCATCTCTGGAAAGTGGTACTGTTCCTGAAAATTGGAAGGTTGCGCTTATTGTACCAATTCTAAAGAAATTTGGTCTTGACTTGGTATTTATGAACTTTCGTCTAATCAGCAACTTGCCTTTTGTTTCTAAAACAGCTGAAAAGGTCGTTGTCTCGCAAATCCTTGATCATTGCTCTGCGCATGCACCTCTACCTGCCTGTCAGTCTTCCTACCGTAAACACCACTCGACTGAGACAGCACTTCTCAAGGTACAAAGTGATATCCTCTTAAGTATGGATCGGCAAGAAGTTACACTCCTTGTCTTGCTAGATTTAAGTGCTGCTTTCGACACCATCGACCATGACATCATGATTAATTTGTTGGAGAATGACTTTGGTATAACGGATCAGGCTCTTTCTTGGTTAAAGTCTTTCCTGTCTGGCAGAAAGCAGCGCGTTGTTATTGGGCAACAACAGTCTGAAGATTTTGACCTTATCAGTGGAGTTCCTCAAGGAAGTTGCCTTGGACCAATACTGTTTATTATGTACACTTCTCAGCTGTTTCATCTTGTCAAGAAGCACCTACCAACGGCTCATGGTTACGCGGATGATACAAAACTATATCTATCGTTTCGTCCAATTTCGACCGTATCGCAAGACCACGCCATTCAGGCAATGGAGGACTGCATTAGTGACATTTATAACTGGACGACTCATCATAGGCTCATGATGAATGATGACAAAACTGAATTTCTGATTATCGGATCCCGGCAGCAATTGGCCAAGATTAACATCAGTAATGTTCATGTTGGTTCCTCAGAGATCCTGCCAGTTAATTCTGTGCGTGACCTGGGAGCTTGGCTTGACGAAACCATGTCTATGGATGTTCACATTGGGAAAATCTGTAGCAAAGCCTTTCGTGGACTGTATAAAATCAGGCAAATTAGAAAGTTCCTGTCGGAGGAGTCTACAAAGACGCTTATTCATGCCTTCGTAACAGTACATCTGGATTACTGTAACTCTTTGCTGTCCGGGGTCCCACAGCGGCAGATGGATCGTCTTCAAAAAGTTTTTAATGCTGCCGCACGGGTAGTTTACTATATCCCTCGCTATGCGCATATCACACCAGTATTGAGGCGACTCCACTGGCTCCCTGTAAGCTATCGGATCAAGTTCAAGATCGCTCTACTAGTTTTCAAAGCCCTGAAAGATATGGCTCCAACATATATACGTGAATTACTTGAACTGAAGCCACTATCTAGGTACGCTCTGGGCAGCGATACTCAGAATCTTCTAAAGGTTCCACCTACTAAATGTAAAACTTTCGGAGACCGAGCTTTCGCTGTAGCAGGGCCTAGAGTATGGAATCAACTACCACTTGACATTAGAACAAGTGCTACTGTGGACACTTTTAAGAACAGACTTAAAACTTATTTTTTTAAATTAGCTTTTTTATAATACGATTATTAACTTTTATATATTTCATCAATTAGAGACAACTAGATTAGTAGAACCTTTTTGTAATATGTTTTACATATGATATTATGTATTGCTTTTATATTTTACTGTATGTAAAGCGCTTTAGAATATTTATATAATTTAAGCGCTATATAAATAACTTTTATTATTATTATTATTATAATATTTCACTTCTGAGATATTGTTGTCATGAGTAATAAACTTGTCATATAAAATTTGTCGCACATACACTTGGCAAATAAAACTTGCCATAGAAAAACTTGTCATAGAAAACTTGCTCGTCTGTGACCGGCTTTAGCAGTCTTGGTCTGAGAGTGTTTGGAACACCTATTACGCAGCCTCAACTGCCATCTCTGTGTCGAATAAAGTCTAGATCTGTCTGTTGAGACAATTGTGTCGTATAGCATTATAATCTTTGTTGGCTTCGCTCTTCAAAGATCCTGTTCTGGACTAGGACTTTACGAGGCTCTCGCGCAAACCTAGTTCCAACAACCGACATCGTAACAAGTATACTATTTTTTTGGATTTTTAACAGTAGTGTAAAGCACCGTGAATAATTGGTGTAACAGAGAAATTGAACTTATTATTATTACTTATATTACTCACGTCGTACGTAGCTGATACTCACTGCTACGCACCTCGTCGGTTATCAGTTCATACACGACTCGAGTTCGCAAATTAACTGTTAATTAATTAGCCTTTTCCCCAAATATATCACAGTGTATTCTGGGATCGTTTAGAGGGCCAAAATATATGGTGACAGGCGTCAAATATGTGAAGAGTAGAAGTATCTACTATCAAAATCAACCGTTCAGACAACAAAAAATGAAATATCTCCTTTTCACATTAAACATTTAATTTAAATATATGTGCTGCCATATTTCTTGTCCTTCCAACTTGGGATTTGTGCGACTAGACCCAAAACTTTGGGAAATGGCTAATTAAGTAGATGTTGTCAGGCGATTTTGTATTTGAAATAGTGACCGCTTTCTCAACACTATTCTATTTAAGTTGAAACATAATTAGAACACATGCATAAAACCTTTATTTTGTTCGTCTACTTCTTAAAATTTCCCGTGTAACCATGCGTGAGTGGCAACTTTCATTCTCGCTTGACTAGTTTACCTTCATACCATTAGGGCCATTTATACGAGCGAAAATAAGTCGCGGCCTAAATAAGCTGCGGTTTAAATAATTCCCGAACGATTTGTATAAACAGTCATTTTGCAATAAGCCGCGGCTAAAATAAGCCCAGAGTTGAAAGCTAGGCCTAAATAAGCCCCGGCTTATTGCAAATTGACTGTTTATACGATTTGTTCGCGACTTATTTATGCCGCGATTTATTTTCGCTCGTATAAATGGCCCTATTGTTCAACTGCAGTTTATCCCGATGCCAGGGAACGCGCAACGATTTTACGACAAAATTAAATGAGATTCCGGTAGTGTTAGCCTACGCAGGCTCCAAAGGAAGTAGGGACTGCACGCAGGCTACGGTTGTGTTGAAATGAAGTAAGTACCCGGCGAAGCCGCAAACCTTCGTATATAGGGGGTCTGAGGCCGTGTCACCCAAAACTTTAAAAAATTACAAGCCCCGAAAAGTGCATTTCCTCCTATTTCCCACAACAATTTTGTTTAAAGTAACCATGTGTATATCGCCTGATGATAGGCAGATATATTTCTGTGAAACACATGTCTAACTGAAAATTAAATTAGTGAAGATTCTTGCCGATGATTATCGTATTGTGAAAGTACAATTACACAAATATGCAACGCTCAAGTCGAGCGTTACGTACTCTGCTTTGAAAGTCACATATAGGAGCGCTTAGAACAGCGACAATGTAGAAGTCTTGAACACTTGATTCTTTAAAAACTGATATGTTTAACTTTGCAAAAATGATCATTTGTTTTTTCAAATATATTTATTGAGAACATTACATCATATAAAGCACTTGTAGTCGTGTTTTATCACATATAAAACGCTCGGCTACGCCTCGCGTTTTTTATGTGACAAAACACTCCTACGCGTGCGTTAAATAGTACTTAATACTATGTATAATTAATGTGAACTCAAATGGCATAAGCAGAAACGGGACGCGATCTCCCATGCAAGGTGCAAACTCCGAAGCAGCGAAATACGTAGCGAATAGGTAATCGGTGTGACCCCATACAAGGTAACTTTAACAATTTATTTAATGAGTTAGAGTCTTCTAAAGGCTTACGATTAGCGTGCTTGAATATTAACAGCCTGTTGAAAAACACTGATCAGCTTCGCTTGATCATGCAAAACATGCCAGTTGATATTCTTGCTATAAACGAGACAAAATTAAACCATTCGGTGCCTGATAGTGAAATAGCAATCGCTGGTTACTTTCACATTCGCCATGACCGATCTAGATCTGGTGGGGGAGTACTATTGTATGTTCGTGACTCTATACCGTTTTCTGAACGAAATGACTTAGTAACTGACTCACTAGAAATGATATGCATTGAAATTAGTAAACCTCACAATAAGTCATTTTTAGTAAGCACTTGGTATAGAGCTCCTAACTCGCAATCTGCTCTTTTTGATGAATATGAGGCTTTTTTAAGAAATAGCGATATAGAAAATAGAGAGGTAATAATTATGGGTGATTTGAACTGTGATATCTTGAAATCTCCTTGTGAGTCTCATACTCGCAAGCTACAGTTCCTTTCATCACTTTATCAGTTCGATCAGCTTATTGATGAACCCACAAGGATTACTGGAACATCAGCAACTCTAATTGATCTAATTCTGACAAATAAAGAGGAAAATATTTCAAAGTCTGGTGTCATACACCTTGGACTTTCTGATCACAGTATGATTTTCGCTATTAGAAAACATTGTATTCCCAAATCACGGGAAAAGGTTAAACATATTCGTAACTTTAAAAATTTCAATGCCAATGATTTTCTTACGGATCTTTCACAGATGCCGTGGGAGAACATTGCCCAACATGACAATTCTAATGTATGCTGGCAGGTATGGAAATCACTATACCTCCAGGTCCTTGATCGACACGCTCCCCTTAGACGTATGAGAACTCGTGGAAATTCTCTCCCTTGGATTTCTTCAGACATCAAGGGTATAATGAGATCAAGAGACTTCCACAAAATAAAGGCGGTTAGACATAATTCTCAAAGTCATTGGACAAAATATAAGGAATTACGAAACAAAGTTAATGCTGAACTAATTAAAGCTAAAAGAAACATTTCTGCAATAAAATAGAAGATTGTGCTCAGTCCAAAGACATAAAGCAAAGTTGGGATTTAATTAACCACCTCATGGGTAAAAATGTGAAATCAAACACGATATCCCAACTTAAAACGGATAATTCTGTCATTTCAGACGATAAATTGAAATCTGAGGCTTTTAATGATTTCTTTGTCAATATCGGGGCAAAACTTGCAGCTGAAATTGAAGATAATTCCCTCAACACAAATTCTTTTGCTCACGGAGATTCTAGGCCTACTACCGACTCCAATCTTTTTTTTAAATTTTCTGAAATTAACGAGGACGAAGTAATATATCAATTGCGTAGTCTCAAAATTTCAAAATCCACAGGATTAGATAACATCCCTGCTAAAGCTCTTAAAATATCCGCGGACATTGTTGGTCCGCCATTAACTTGGATATTTAACCTTTCGATGAAAAAAGGAGAATATGTGGATGAATGGAAAAAAGCCTGGGTTACACCCATTTATAAATCTGATGACAGGTTGAAATGCGAGAATTATCGCCCTATCTCGATACTACCCATTGTTAGTAAAATACTTGAGAGATGCGTTTTTAATCAAATTTATAAATTTCTTAATGACAATTCACTTCTTTCAAAACATCAACATGGTTTTCGGCCTAAACATTCAACTCTCACCGCTCTAACTCAGGTGTGCGATACTCTTTATGAAAATATGGATAATGGTCAATTGAGCGGCATTGTTTTTCTTGACATTCGTAAAGCCTTCGACTCAATTGATCATAATATTCTGCTTCATAAATTAAAAGATCAGTTCGGTATATCGGATATTGAGTTAAGATGGTTTGAGTCTTACTTAAATAATAGGGAGCAAGTCTGTATTGTTAATAATTCAATGTCATCGTCAAAACGGATTGTTTCTGGGGTTCCGCAGGGATCTATTTTAGGTCCACTGTTATTTTTACTCTATATCAATGACCTCCCCGAATGCCTACAAAAAACTACTCCTTATTTATATGCTGACGACACCCAAATTTGCTGCAGCTCTAACAGTTTGATTGAATTAACCGAAAACCTTAATCACGATCTGAGTAGAATCGGTGATTGGCTTTCTAGAAATAAATTACAACACCACCCAACTAAGACCAAAATAATGTTCATTGGCTCTAAACATCATATTAATTCCACAACTTTTGATCATCCAGTGATGTTAAATAACCAACGCATCCCCAGAGTTCACTCTTTCACATGTCTTGGTCTCGATTTAGATGAAAATCTTAACTGGAATTCACATATTCAGGCGATTTGCAAAAAGGTTGGAGCAGGCCTGGGTACTTTGAGACGTATTAAACCCTTTGTTCCAATAACCACCCTTCAAACAATTTATCGAGCTCTGATTCAGCCGTATTTTGATTATTGTTCTCCCATTTGGGGCGTCTGTGATCAAAATTTGAAAAATAAACTCCAAAAATTTCAAAATCGCGCAGTCCGAATCATTGTCGGTGCAAGTTATGAGATTAGATCTGCTGATGTTCTTCAATCTCTTGCTTGGGACAATTTAGAGACAAGACGACGTACAACCAAAGCAATATTAATGTTTAAAGTCTTGAAGGATTACGTAGGACCTACGTTGAAAGAATCCTTGATAAGACGCAATCATATGCAAACAAATTATGGTCTTAGAAATAGTCATACAGATTTGGCTCTTCCTAAGCCTAAACGAGAATTCCTAAAAAAGAGTTTTAAATACAGTGGGGCTAAGCTATGGAATAGTCTCTCTATCGATACGAAACTGGCAGAATCAATGCACCTGTTCAAAAGCTATTTAAAACTTAACTCTAATACTATATATATATTTGAAATAAATTGTAACTCCGTCTAACCATAACATCTGGGGTCACACCAATTTGTAAATAGTCTTCTTTTCCCTTATATCTTTTGTAATTTTTAACATTGTAGACGCCCCCCGTGGAAAAACCAACAACCACCGTTGACGGGGCTAGAGTCTCTAAATAAAGTTTTAATACAATTTTTTAATACAATACAAATATCAATACACACATACATAAAATACAAATATATAAAAGCCGCTTCCTTCTATTAGTATGCACCCTGAACACAACCACCTGAATGCTTCACGGATGTGTTAGCATAATAATACCATAGTTGCCTCGAAATCCTTTGTCTCGCGAGGTACGATTGATCACTAATTTACCTCATTACTAAAACATGGAGTAAAATTAGAACTAATTTTACCACGGCCAAAATTAGAACTTTGCCCGTCGTGAAATTAGTTCTAATTTTCCCCTGCATGCTTGATGAGGGAAATTTAGAAGACAAGGAGAGCTGTACCTCATCGAAAATCATCGGCACAACTATGGACAGTATCTGACGACACCGTCCCGTACACATTCGAACAATCACTTTGCCAGCTTTTATTCCCTAATCTCGAACATTTCAATTGTTGGAGAAAATTCCGTTTATGCGCATGCCTAAAACGCCAATGAACACGGAGATGTGTTTCTACCACAATCTTAAGACAATCAAACAGCATTCAAAACAAGCAACACACCACGCGCGATTCCCTCGTTAAAGCCTGTTTTCCACTAGGCGGAATTTTGCGCGCGGACAACAGCTGGGAAATTTGTTGTCGCTGTGCAGAGAAATTGCTGGCGCACGCGATATTTTACAAAAATTCGAAAATTTGAAAAAACAACACGAGTGAAATTTCAACTGATGATTTTGCATTTTTAAGACGGCGATCAAGGAAATTAAATTGTTGGAAAAACTTCACTAACATCTCAAGTATGGAAAGCATCTACATTACTAGAAATTTAATTGTGGATTGATTCAAAATTCAGGCGATAAAGTTACATAGCTAGAAGTTGGCTTTTGTGCTCTTCGAATATCAGTTTTCATTCGGCAGATTATCATAACTTGTTGGCCTCATGGGTGCCAAAATCGACATAAACGTAAACTGCTAACCAAGAGCTATAAAACAAATAGCTTGTCAAAAAGATAAACTTTATTCAGTCAAAAGGATGAGGGTAAATAAACATGCTACTGCGTGATAGTGATTTCGAAGCAACTTTATCACATATATTTTAAAAATGGTGATAATGAATCAAATTTTGCTTTTTGCAATCCCGAAAAGGTATGAAATTATTTAAATATTTAAGGTTTCCGTGTTTCTAAAGTATTTTTTTGAGAAAAGTAACAATTTTCCCGATAAAAAAGCATAGTTTCTGCAGAAAACTGTTTTCTGATAGAGAAGGTCCTGGGGGAGGGATGTAGAAGCGTGCGCGGATAGCAGAAAACCTTGAAGTTTCCTCCAAAAAATTAATACCAAATTTTGTTTTTTTACATCTAAAAATTGCCCCTAGTGGTCAAAACTTGGATTATGTTCGCAGTATTGGCCATTTGTTTACTTTTGGGGATCAAAGTTTGAGGTCCAATTATTTTTAAAGTTTGCAAACTACCCAGCTAATTCTTGGCTGTTGTTTGCAGCCTTGTATGCTGATTAAAATTTAGTTTAGTCCACAATAGTAGATCCTTTCAATGAAGGGAAATTCAAAATAGTATATTTGATTCCTTTTACAGCACAGTCATTACATAGGTAGGGTGCAATACCAGACCAAATTGCAAAAAAATTTACCGATTCCTCCAAATTTAAAATCATATTTTTTTGCTACCAAGGCACATAGGAAACATAATTTAGCAATGAATTTTGTTGAAAAATTGCCCCTTTGGGTCTAATTTCGCTTTGAAATGCGTGCGTTTACTGCTCTTGTATGAAGCAAGAGTTCGAAAACATTCCGAAGTACTGTAAAATTATGTAATGAAATCGACAACTTGACCTTGCCCTTGAGACCTTGTACTGCCTCAGCATTGAAATGTTTTTTGACAACGATAATTTACCAGTGTTTCTTGAATATTATCCTTGTTTGACTAGTAGAACCGAACGTACAAGTGCATCAGAAGACTAAGCGAGAGTTTTGTGTAGAAATGCTCTGTTTTAATACGGGAAGTTATTTTGCATTCACAAGCGTCAACAAAACTGCGGCATTTTCACAGTTTGATTATCATAGCGATAGATAAAAGCTTTGAAAATTCAATTGAAAACATTTTAAACCACCCGTATTTGTATAGACTATATGTTAGTTGTATTAACATTGAACTTCTTTCTGTTTGAACCCAAATTTGTACTTGTTTTGCGTTTGACAAGGCTGTCAAGCTCGTGACGATTGGCTTTTATACCTCAGGCATTGCTACAGATTTAGCGTGTCAAATGTCTTCTTGTTTGTGTCAAGATTATAATATTCTATTGCTGTTCAAACGAGATATTCTATACACTGGAAACGTAGAGTACATTTTACTTTGTCTTTGTCTCAAGCAAAAAAAGTATAAAGATTAAACAGGCATTCAAAAATATACAACAACCACGAACATCTCGTAATATTTTTTCGGGGAAATCTTCAAGTTTCAATGGAAATCTGGCGCATGCGCAACAAATTTCCCAGCTGCTCGCGCGGACCGGAATTTTTCTTTGTCTTTTCAAATTAGTTCCACCCGAGAAATCACAAGACAAAGAAAAATTCCGCTCCGCGCGCAAAATTCCGCCTAGTGGAAAACAGGAAAACAGGCTTAACTATGATATTACAAAGTAATAGCATGGCATTACGGTCGATTAGTGATGAAATGTCCCTCAAGCCTCGACAGATTTAGTAAAAGTCCTTTTGCTGAACCTCTCTTGGCTTTCGAGCACATTTAATCACTAATCGCCCTGAATGCCATGCTATTACTTATAATACTTTCAAACTCACAAGCATAATTGGTTGCATCATACACAATCCAGAAGACATTCAGATGTCTTCTGGATTGTCTATGGTTGCATTCAGTGAACACAATAAGAGGATCCGTCTATTAAAACTACTTAAGATCTGTGGCAGGGGCAGTCCCGCACCAGTGTCCAGGTTCCTATACAACAGCCAGGTTTACATGATTCCTATACAACAGCCAATCAGCGCTTCTTCAAGATTTAAAAAATATGACATCATCAAAGGGCAAGTGACCCCAGCATAGTTTCGATAAAATTTTGTCGAAACCCGAAAATAATGCGCTTTTTAACAACCTTATAGAATGAACTTTTGAAGTTTGCACTTTGGAAGAACGTAGTAAAATTACCAGAGTTTGACATTTTATATATTTTACATCCTTTTTGCTTGTAATTTGCGAAATATCCAACCCCTAGTAAACGTTGTAATGAATTTCCGCTAAATTTTTTCCAGACTTGTACATGCACGCCTTAGCACTACGCGCGAACATCGCCCGAGCGCAGGTAACGCAAGGTCACCCAAGTTGTTTTTTATCTCGACAGACAGTGATAATATGAACCCAAAACTCGTTTGTGATTGCTATTTCAAATTCCTAATCGAATAAAAGCATTTTAAACAACTATTCAAATTGGCCAAACGCGCCACGGAAGTTGATTAACAAATGGAATTTGAGTAATTAACGTTGTTTTATGAATAAATAATGATGTACAATGCATAAAACCCTAGTTTACAGGTTGTAACTGCTTTTTCTGGGCTGATCGCCAAGACAGAGAAGTGCAAGATAAAGAAATTTACAGACTTTACAGTATGGCTCAACGCCTGTTCGACCTCCTTGCACGTTTACAAGAAGCGGTAC